AAAGCCAAACCTCTTCTGGTCGCTCTCCTCGACACTGGATGTCTTCAATACCGAGATTCTTGCAACACACTACCTTGTATTGTCAAACATTCAAGCTGCAAACATTGCAACCCTCGCGAACTTCATTTTCCCAGTGATTCTCTCTTTTTTTTTTTTTTTTCTTCCGTCTGTCAGACCTACGCTGGCCCCAGATATGCAACATTCGAGAGCTTCTGTGCCTCACTGCCGAAATCATCCACCGTGAAGTACATGGTGAAGGTGAGTTCCTTGAATAGAAAAACCAAAAACAACAAGATCTGCAAACGGATGATGCGGACAGTCAAGATTCCCTGGCAGCTCCGAAAGGCAACTCCGGAAAGGTCACGGAGGCAAAGTCATGAGAAGTCACCTGGCCCCAGTCAAACCAGTCAAACACTTCAAGCTATTCTCGGCAATCGCATAGCAAAAGATGTGCCGTTCATTGAGGTGCCTGTAAGCGCTCATTGTGTACCTGCCGGCCGATAACCACGGGCAGCGTTCCAGTATTGCAACGCGCCATGGCTAGCCTTGACGGTGTCGTGCGGGTCCAGCGTCAGCTTTACGAAGGAATACCTCATCGCAGAACAACCCTGAAATTTCCAGGCAACAAAGCCAGATGCTCCACAAATGCAAGCCGGGAAGCTCATTTGCAAATTCCAGCACTGAACTGACCTAGCGCTGCGCTCTCTGACCGCACATGTTTCACGGAAAAATTGTTGAAGGCTTTGCATTAACCTGCCTCAACATCCAATGGCAGCACGTCAAGCCTGGATTACACAACAAAGGCTAGAGTCTCACAAGCAGTAGGTGGATGCCTGGCCATTGTGAGAATGGCATCAAAAAGCACTGGATGATCCTGCGTAAAGTACTTGATCACCTGTGTCAGATGCACGAAGCTAGATTTGGACTACACGGCTTTGCTCACCGTGGAGAGCATGAGCCCTCCTGTTTTCGAGACTACACATCAAATGCATTGAGAAGTTCCATAGTTTTCAGCTCCGTGTTTGGATTCAGCATCCACAGCCCATGAGCTTCGGTTGAGCCCTTCTTGAGCTGACCCTCCTCTGCGTTACTCTTTACAACAGCCTCGCCGCCCCACGGCGTGGTCTTACACAGCTAGCCAGAGCAGAGGCGCCGAGAATGACTGAGAGATCGCACCTGCTTGGGCTCACAACTTTGAAGGATGTCGTGCATGACCTCCAAGTTCCTCGGGCAACAAATGCAAATACAAAACACGCAAGATCAAGAGTGACCAATGAGGGACCAGTCATAAAATTTCGACGGGTATCTCGCAGAGTTCGGTGTCGGTCAGGCCGTCTACGTTCTCCACTTTCGTCAAGGCCTGTTCAAGCTTCAGCTTGCTGAATCGCTTCTACAAGGTGGTATCCAAACAGATCTTTGGAAATCATGATGCTGTTATCGATTTTCATTCAGACCCATTGAGCCATTGAGCTTCATGGCATGGCAGTGAGCTGACTCTGCTACTGGCCACAGCATGTCGAGGCCAAGGCCTCCAGGATGGTCTTGTCCATGGGAACTGTCCGCCTTCGCGACATGACCTCATCTCCAGAGCTGGACACCACGTGGAAGACAAATAAGCAAGCTAAACTTAGTAATTCGTCCAGTGATGGAGAGCAGCCCAGGGTTCTCAACTCTATCGTAGGCAGCTTTGTTTGCAAGGACTGAGCACGCTACTGCTGGCCGCCACGTTGGGCATCTAGACACTTTAACGTTTGCTCAGTGGCCCTTCCCGTCTCTTGAGATGCGGCTGCAAGAAAACGTGTCATCTGCTGTCATACGGCCCGAAGATGAAAGGTCGACATGGGAAGGATAGTGTCTTGTAGCTTATCAAATGCGCACGACTCCAATCCAAGAAGCTGCGCAGACTCTTCCACAAAGCCTGCCTCAACACTCACGCCATTCCACACTGGACAGCTGAAGTTTGGCATTGCACGCTCTTCGTGGATTGGAGTCCTCCAGCCAGGTCCCTTCATAGAATGAGGCATGCAGCGCCACAGGCATACAAGCACAAGGCACACAAGCGCACAGGCGCACGGAGGCACATGGTCAAAGCACACTGGCGCACGGACCCACGAGAACATGGTCTACGAGCACGGCACGCGCCAACAAAAATTGTTCTTTGCAGTACTGTACAGGATGAGACGAGGGAAACCCATGGGAGAGGACGAACATGCTTGACATGCAGCACACCACAGACTCCATGAGCTCATAGGTCTCTCACGGGAACATAATCCAAAAAGACCCCGGCCAAGAATAGAGATGCGACTAACGGCATTGGCAACACATCCAAACATCTACAAATAGTTGATAAGGCAGTGAGATTCGGGGATTCTGTTCTTTGGTAATTTGTACAGTGTCGAACATCCATAACTTGATGGGTTCGCGTGCTGCAGCCCCTATAACTGACTGCATCATAGCTTTTTTGCTTCTTGTCAGGTTCGCCCACTTTGCAGTCAAGATATCTTCCTAATCTTCCTCGTTGCCTTGCTGTGATTGCATAAGATTACTGAGGGCCACAAAATGGGCGTTTCCGCAGCGTCCTGCATTGTAAAGCATTAAAACATCTGGGCAAGCAGCTCGCCGCTGCTATGCCTTGGTGCGAGGGAGAACCAGCACTATTTTACTGCAAACTTCAACCAAATGGGGAAACCAAAGCTGCTGACAAGCTTATCCAGGAAAGTCGCTGCGAATCATGATCATGTATTTGTTGTTCATTGCAGTTGCACATCTCTGGCTCCTTTCTGCTACCACGCACCAAGCCCCGAACCACCCAGGACCAAGCGCAATAAAACCCAGGAGTCACTGACTCAGTAAACTGCGAACCGTCGCATAACGCTGGCATCACATGCATTGGCTGCAGTGTGCAGCAGATGTGCCCTAAAGGAATGTACAAGGCAGATGCTCAGCTGCATCAAGAACTCACAGAGTCCAGAAAAGACCACCTCAGCAAGACGGGCTTTTCATGAAGACTCATCCATGGTACATCAGCAGTCAATGGCATCTTATTGCAACCCAGCCGCCCTCCCATCCCCTCTTGCAGAACATGGGGCCAGAGCTCCTTTGCCAAAGTAGCTGAACTCGTTGCGACTCAGAGTCAGCGAAAGAAGCATGAGTCAGGAGGTTCTGGAGCGTTCCTAGAAAAACCTGACTAGTTGACGAAGTTGTGATCTACACTAGGTAGGTAGATTAAGAAACACCGGTGTCTTATGAGGTCACACACTTGCTCCGCCAATGCCTGGCATCCAAGGACCTTCCTCCCTGGTGGGTGTGGTTGGAGGGTTGATATAGGGGCCTAAATAATTACCAATATTATGGTTCCATATAGTAGGGTTATATTGGGGTTATACTGGGATAATGGAAAAGAAAATGGAAACTACTAGGGTTTAGGTCTTCAATAATGTGGGCCGTCCCCCATCCCTTGCGCCTCCTGCAGTTGTGGATGGTGGGAGGTTTGGGGAAATTCAGGAAATATACAAGGCATTGTACATTTACAGGGCATGGGGATGACATAAGGTTTTCTACGGATTTACCAAGACTACGCATTTATACATGTCAATGTATTATTATACCCAGAAAGAGACCGTTTTCGCAAGCAAAGTCTTCTCGGTTGTTTGAAGAGTGTTAAAAGGAGTTCAAAAGAAACGCGAGCTCTGCACCAGAAACTCAAGACATTCAAATGCAAAATTGACAAGTCTCAAGGAAAATGCCCTTGACCGCCCCATCCCTGTCACTGCTGGAAAGTTTGTGTGAGATCTTGTAGACAAAGTCAGATGCCAAAAGTGACGACAGTTATGCAGTTGATGACTGCGAGAGCACCCCATCCATGTCACCGTTGGCATTTTGTAAATCACGAAGGCATGAAAATGGATTACGTCTTTACCTCCCCTCAGACCACACCACCCTACTGTGGGGCGTGCAGCAGTGCCTGCAATACGATTGTAGCCATAAGAGACTTGGGATGTTTGCAACTTGCTTTTCCCTAGCTGCTAATTTCTAGACCAAGCGTTGACAAAAGCTCTCAGCGGATGTCGCGCCTTTTTCAAAAGATGCACAGCTTCAAATTCAACTCGGGTATGTTGAAGCATGAGAAGTCATCTCCAAATGGCCGCTCTCCACAGCATCCTGTACACGGAAAATCCTTTGCGTGCAAGCGGTCCCGCACGTGCCTTGCTGGCACATCTGCTTTGGGGCCACGCACAAGTTTAAACGCTTGAGTGCGGCTTACGCCTGAGCCATGACTTTACCAGCCATCGCCAGCCGATTTTCAGATTTTTGTAGGGCATCCTGGCAACAGAGCACAGAACGTTGAAGATGCAACGCTCCCATGTTAGGCCGCTCTCTTGCTGCTAGCAGCTAGCACAGGAACAACATCAACAGGCTTACATCACACTCCGGGAACATGAGAATTACTTCGCCTTCGCGTCTGAACTGTGCGCGTCGAAATCGAGACCACGGCGGGATGTTGCGATGGAACGCCGAAAGAATACCTGCGAGGCAATCAGTCGGGCAGACGTCACCGCACATCCCAGCTCGTGCAGTGGGTAGCTTCGTACTTGCAACAACTACCACGCTTCAAGTCAAAACTTATAAGATCAAGACTCATCAAACACCCAATGCCCATACTGAAGGTAATTTATTCCAAGCCAATCCTAAGAGAAGACTTGGGGGCCGCCGTTTCGCTCAGGAGAGTTCTGCTGGGCTTTTGGAAAGGGCTCGCTCCAAAGCATGATTTTTCCTGGCAACGAACGCCTGCAAATGCTCTTGAGGCGTGAGTAATTCTCAAATGCCTCGTTCAGCCAGGAATGTGAAACTGGGGTCAGAAAAAATCAAAGATTTCTACGGACCGCACTGCAGCCTCTACCAGCACATGAAACAAATGGCCTTAACTGCAATGCTGTCTGGATCTCTCGAAGATTCTCGAAGCACTCGGAGCGGTCAAGAGACCCAGCAGGTGGAGGCTTCTAATAATTGGAAGACCTCGACTGATCTTCGTCCTTCTTGCGCTTCTCGCTGCGCGGAAGAAGCCCCTTATAGTTGGAAGGCCACTTATTATGATCATCATTCGTACACTTCCCATCCTCATCCTTCTTGTCCGAGTCCTTCTTGTCCACGTCCTTCTTGTCCTCATCCTCCTTCTTGTCCTTCTTGAAAGAACATATGGTAAAGTTGAGAATAGCCAGGACTACCGTGGCCACGCTAATAACGATTTCGTAGGATGCGAAAGGATTCCCAAAAAAGTTCATCTCCAAGAACATCAGGGCAATGGCCATGCAAGAGGCGACCTGTTTCATCACCGAATCAAGAAACTTTGCCACCAGGCCAGCGAGCCAGGCTTTGCAAACCATCACAAGCAGAACCACTATGGTGGCACCATCCCAGCCTTCGAATAAATCAAATGGACTGCCCCAATGGTTACAAGCGAACCAACACCAGGAGAATAGTATACTCGAACAATCGACATGCATTTTTTGTATCGGAAACGGTTGTGGGTCCGCACCCTCCTTCTCCTTGAAGAAGAGTTCCAAGAAAACAGATGCAAGGGTCTCGCAGCAGCACATGCCCAAGATGCACAGGCACCCACTCAAAATTTCCGCTGACCACGTCATTGCTGACTCTACTCCAAGAGGACTCCACTGCTGCGGCCAGCTCAGAAACGTGAGAGTGCACGCAGAAGCTAGAAGCGCTAGAGCCAGTGCTCGCCGCTTGTAGGACTTTCCTGTATCTTTGTACATCACATACGATGCAGCGGCGAGAAATGATACGGATGCTATCCACAGGGTTTGACCTTCCCTGGAGCTCATGTACAACACAACACCGCAGCAAATCATTGTCAAAGAGAGCCACTGTTCAGTTGAGAAAGCCTTTTTGTGTTGTTGCCTCACTGCCAGGGCCAGAAGGAACAGGTTCATCTGTGAGAGTATTGAGACGGCATCCGGAGTAACTTTGGTGAGAGCAGCAAACTTCAGGAATCCAGCGATCTGGAAGAAGACGTTCACTCTAGCCACCTTCACTACTGAAAAAGGATCAAATCGCACACCTTTGACACCTTCTTTCCCCAAGGCTGCGAGAAGCCCGATGGAGAAGGATGCCACAGCAGCCCCAAGCATGACAGAGGAAACGGCATACGGGAAGCTTGCTCTGCCTCCCTTTGACCAGTCTTTGATTACAGAATCATTCGCCGTAATCAGCACATATCCCGCAAAGGCAAGACAGCTGTAGCGATCCAATCTGTACCTAACAAGCCTCAGTGAAGGCAGTCAAACAAGCATGAGGACTGGATGGATGTTCCTTGCTGTTAAATAAAAAGTTGAAAGGCATTGACAAGCTGCTCAATCGCTTCACTATCGGGTGAGCCATCGACTGGCCTCTTCTCAGCTGATTCATGATATTCATGTGGCCTCAGAAGCAGCATTGCATTCACATCGCGCAGCAATGTGCTGTCGGCTACAATCGGAATGCATCGTACTTTGACTCCAAGACGCGGCATGCATGATAGCCTTATATGCTGGTTGTTTCGAAAAGAATCTATGACATGCACGCACTCTTCGTAAAAAAAAAAAAAAATAGGTCTGAAATCGATGCAGTTCTGGAGCGACATGTCGACGTCAAAGGCAGCCGGGCTGTATAGTTGGGAATGTCTTTGAGGAATCCCTTCACTGACTGAACGATGAAAATGTCCCAAAGACCTTCAGCAGAAGGAGCAAGTGAAGAGAACAGAATGGCAGTGATTGCCTGTTCAGCTGAGCAACTCCGACAAGCCAAAGCGGTCTTCAATGTCACGTCGTCTTGCGTATGTTGTATCACTCATGGCACGGTGCCATGATCTGTCAGACCTGTTCATGGCTTGCCGAGCGGAAAAACGCATCTTGCATCTTGCCAAAATCATGCCAAAGCAGAGCGCAACGGTCCGTCCCTGACAGTCGCGTTGCAGCGCAACATGTTCTTGCAAGACCGGAAAGCGAGCAAACCGTGCTGAAATTTGCGCTAAGCGTCTCGGAGGACAACTCGGATCGATTTGAACGAGCACACCGAAGTTCCATGCATGACCTGCACAGAATTGCCAGCAACCCCTTTAGTCCCACTGATCCATTGTCTCATTTTGTTCGAGGAACAAGGCTCGTCATCATGGGATGTCTTGTTCCGCTTGCTAAATCATGCACTAGCTCTAGCACATCCCAACAATGCTGCCCTGCAAAGCGCCCCTCCGCTACCAGCTTGCCGGGCGGCTCATCGGCTTGTAAGTATGGTTGGCCAGACTCGTCGTCCGAGTCCCGCCTTGGCATTTGAAAGCCAAATTGATACGGCCCCGTCCGGCAGAAGGCATCACGGGTGCCACCCATACGAAGAAGTAAGCCCAATCAAGATGGCTCTCTTTGCTACTCCATAGTTCTGACCAGAACTGTCAGCTCCATAGCGTATGGTCAGGGCCCGACGGTGGCAGCGGGTCAAAGTCTGGCAGGTCCGCCGCTGCCCTCAGTGGATCAGGGTCGTCTTAAGATCTGATGCCTTGACTCGTGGTAGTCTGTCTGTGACTTGCGACTTGAAAACTTCACTTCATCGAGCGGCTCTGTTGAGACAGCAAAGGCCTCGGGGGTGATGGATGAGCCCCTCCTTAGCAAACGCCTGCTGCTGCCGCCGCTGCTGCTCGCCATGATCCAAGAGCCACATCAGCAGGAATCCAGAAACAGGCACAGCGTTGCGGTTTAGGACACCCGACAACCCTAACGTATCCACCACATGTTGATCGTTTGCGCCGACTAAGGTGAATAAGGACAGCAAACACATACACACACGCACTGGCTTGAAGATTGCAAAGCGGGGCCACTGGCTGCGAGGTAAGAACCATGATCCACATGTTCACTCTGGGGCCCAGATGGTTGCATTCCGTGACATGCGCAAGCTGGCTGCTTTTCAGCTCAGGAGATTCTGACCTACTGTCCAATTTGACAATTCAGTCAAATCGCGCCAGTCATGAATACCTGTTGGAAGACTTGCCCGTGCAGTCTGCCTCGGATCCACGCTCTTCTGCCACTTTCAGCTCCTTCACAGCTTTTAGGGTAATCATGTCAACACCCGAGAATGACCACTTCGGTCCAGGAGAGCTGCTCTTACCAGCACTTCCGCACAGAGCTTCTCAACCTCACGTCCTTGGCAGCTGACTTGCTCTGGCGCATGTCCATGTGCAACACAGCTTGAAACGTTATGTCCTCATATGTCCTCCCTTGCAGCTGAAGAACTTGGATACCATGCCGGAAACGCATCGGTTCCGTTCACTTCCCCAAGCGCCTCACACTGCAGCTGTTCCCGCAATTACCCGCAGCTCCTCCGGAATCCACTAAGTCAAAAGCTGCCCCAAAGGCCAAACCGCGAGCATAGCAATCGCCAGAGCCGTCTACATCGCCTGCCTGTGTGCAAAGTTGTAAAGTTGCGCAGCCGCATCGGCAGGCCAGCAAAACGCATGTGACTCGTAGCAGCCTCAAGCGCCATGTCACCTTGGAGGACTAAGGGGCGGAACGCACTGAAACCTGCAGCTGGGGCACTGGCCCGCTCTCTTCCAGCCAAAGATGGCGGCGGTTCTCTCTATGGGGGACATCACGCTTGCCTCTTCCTCCACCTAGAGCAAAAGCACAAAATCTCAACTTATGCTGGGATCTAAACATGCAAGCAGATTCGAATCACACTGAAACTCATCGTCACCTCTTGTACCAAAGTTTGGCGTGCAGTCTGGCCCGTAGAGGTTTCTGCCTGCAGACCAAAGCGATGAGAGCAAGCAAAGAGGCGACATACCAGGCCGCCAGGCCTGCTCACCGAAGCCAACATCGTGCCAAAAGCCAGGCTTCAAAGCCGATTCTTTCGGCGCGCAGCACTCACACCCCTCAGCATGGGCTGCATTGAAGGTAGCGGCGAGGTCCAGTTTACGAGTACCTAAGCAACTCAAAGCAGCGCATAGCAGTGGCCCGTGGTAGCTGCAGCAACGGCCTCTGGCAGCCACGCGCGGTGCGGCCATGAAAGGTGCCGGAGGAGGAGGAGGAAATTCTTCCTTCAGAGCATCACAAGCTGCATGGCCTGGACAGCAAACAGTCGCCTCAAGGAGCATGCGGTCCTCCAGTTGTAAGGCATCCAGCGCCATGTTTTGGCCTAAGCTTCTTCGAGAAGCACAGAGCCAAATCATCTTTGCAGTCACCTTGGCCCCCCGGGCCTGGCACGGACGTTTAGACTGTAGCTGCAAAGGAGGCTTGAAGGAATCTGCTTTCAACACGTAGTTAAAAAAGCCACTGCTACCTTTTTGGTGCAGGTTGTATTTTGTTGCTGAGATGGCATGGCACGGCGCTGGCTACGACTAGAGCCTGAGAGCAGCAGAAAGAAGGTTCATGTGGACGCCATCGGAGCATCATGGCAAAGCGCTCCGGCCGCCGGTGGCTTTGCTCCGGCACATTCTCTGGATCTTTGGGTCCGTCACGCCTACAAAGTCAGGGTCACTCTGCTGTACTTAATTTCTGAGTCATCTTGCATCCAGACACGCGCGACACGCGCGCGGGCCTCTGGAACAGAAGAAGATAGTTCCTGACTTCATAGAATTCGCGCTTGGGAAGGTGTGGCAAGCTTCCCGCTGCTCATGACGTTCTCTTCATGGGCACCCTTGCACATTAGCCAAGACTCCAGGAACCAATCACCTTCTTGTCCGTCGCCTAACAAAAGATACTACATGCCAATGAATTAAAACAGAGTATGAGCATGTATGAGCCATGCGTGTGCCGGATCTTGAAGTGATATCCTGCCTCACAGCCAGCTCTGCCCAAGTATTCGGTATGTGAGTCATCAAACCGCCACCACCTCGAACCGGGGGGGGGCAGGGCCAGCAACCGTCCAATTTGTCTGTGCAAGCCAAGCTGCCCGTCTGCCCGCCGGCAGGAGGCCTGAGCTAAAAAAAATCACCATCCAAACTTCGACACAGCGTGCAGGTATTGCTGCTATGCTTCTCAGCCAGAAGAAGTGCAACTTGCATAATCCTGTTTGTTCTGCGATAATTGCAAGTTCGTGACTACTGACCTTTGCCCCTTTGCCTCATTTTCCCACGTAATAGACTGCCAAGGTGCTGTGTAGTGTCCAGAGAAAGGTGAAGAGCCTCTCAGACGCAGCCAGTCTTGCTTCATAAGGCTACATCTTCGGTCACAACTGCCTACATGATCTACAGCTGCAAAAAGGTCCTCAGCTGCTTTGCGCTCACCACAGTCCAGTAAGTGGCAAACACAGCAGACATTTCGCCGTAGGGCCCCTGCGTATTGCAACTCTGTACGCTGTGGTGACCTATTTAATGCTCCGGCATGCGGCATGCTCTGGCACCCTCTACACCGCAAGCAGCTTCTCTCCATCAGCTGCCGGCAGCTTTGGGACAAAGTTCTGTAGATCAAGCTTCTCTGAGGGCAAAGTGACCTTGACATATCAAAGCTGCTTAACGATGTGTAAATGTGAACGACATCGGCTTCCAGACCTCGCCCTCGATCTTCCAAGCATGCCCCAAAGCGCTCGCCTTTGAAACATAGTAAGATGAAAGCGGTTTTTGCACACACGGAGGTTCACACCATGCCCCACCTCGAAGCCGAAGCGCTTGAGATGCACAAAGAGAAGCAACGGCAGCTTCCTTGACTCATCTTCTGACGGAATTGGCCATTGAGCTCCGAAGCTCTGGAGCTGATCCCTCTGCAAGCACCACAGTCGCGCAGCACCAGTACTTTTCCGTGCCATCGCAATAGCGGTGTCATGTCACCGCAGTGTCAGCATCAGGAGCAGGCAGAGATGCTTTTACCTGGCACAGATTTCTGCAGCTGAGAGGTCCATTGGAACGACATTTCAACAGCCTTGGCGGCAGCGGGGTCTGCGGCTACCTACCCGGCACATGCACACATTTCCGCGGCAAGCGCGCAAACCGCACACCTCATTGGCCAACGACAGCACCATCTTGCGGAAGTAGGCCAGGCGGAATTGCCGTTTGCGCAGCCGCATGCCAGCTTTGACCTTAAAAACAGCGCACTTGCCCTCAAGACGTGCCCAGCCTGGATGCAATCAGTCGAGGGGCCCATTCGCTCAATGTCAAAGATCCAAAGACCTTGGCAACGCTGCCGTACGTGCTTCGCAGCCAGACCAAAAGCTGCCCCGCCCTGCCCTGCCCGAGATCACGGCATTCACCACAAGTGTCATGTTGTAAAGATAGTTTGCATTGCCTTCTTGTTCAAATTGAACAGTCTTCCCTCTTCATGCTGGTCTGCTTGCCAGCACAGCTTGAGCCTGCATTTCTGCCCAACCAGACCTGAGCACCATACAAAACAGCCTTATCATCAGGCTCTCTTCTTCAGGTAAGCAAAGCGCCGCAACCATCGTGGGGACCATGGACAAGCCAAACATAACGCCGCTGAGCAGGAACGCAAAGTAACGCCTGGCATTTGATGAGGGAGGGGTTTCTGCTGCTTCAAGCCTTCTGCGATGAATCTGCAGGGTCTGGCTGGCTCTCTCGAATCAGCTCAGCTTGGACCAGCATGGCTGAAACCATCAAAGCGTAGTCACCTGATGGCGAAGCACATTGTCATCGAAGAACAGCACTGCGGCACTGCGCCGCTTGGCCAGCAATCTCATGATGCAAAAGACTCTGTTGCCATGTCAATTGCAGCTTTGGCACTGGCCGTGGGGTACGGCTTAAAGAGCGCAATCTTGGTATAAAAGCTGTGCTGAAACGCTTGACGTGAAGCAGAGAATAGTTCGTGCTGAGCGTGTAGCCATTCCAACTGCAGCGCTGCAATGTATGAAGGGCCTCGGCGAGTTGTTTCTACAACTCCTTAGCATGCTAGCAAGAAGGGCGCTGAAACTTCAAGACTCGTGCCCTGTGGGCGCATAACCACCAAGCCGCAAGTGGAGCGGAACCTCAAGCGATCTAAGTGTGGTCAGCATGGCCAAGAATTTCAAGACAAGCTGGGGCGAGGAGCTGGATAGAAAAGAATGTGGGCATGGAACGCAAAGACGAACAGAAAGTAATACCGCTGAAACACCTCTGCGGAACACTGCCTCTCAGTCTGTAGCATCCGGTGGTGGAAGCGGGCCTCAATGAAAAAGTACCAGAAAAAGCCGGTGTTGGGGGTCAAGTCCCGTATGCTGAGCACTGAGAGGAAAGCAGCCTGGGCATCTGCAAAATCCCACGATTTTCAAACTTGGGTAACGTTGCTCACAACATCTCAGAAGGCAAACCCTTCGTCGAGTCGGCCTCCAAAAACTGCAGCTCACCAGCCATTGCCGCAAGTGATGCCTGAAAGGGGATGGCCAAGAAGGGTAAAGAGACTTGGGCTTGCCAAATCTGTCAGAGGGCTCCCAGAAGGCAACCAAAGGCGCCGAGCACCACCAACGAGAAGCAAACCTTCGAAAGCTAACAGAGCATATGGTGGTGGTTTGGCTGTGCGGCGCTTTTGCTGCGACATACCCCATTCAGCCCGAGCGCACTGTAGATCACAAAACCAATGTTCACCTGGCATGTCTTGCTCCGTACTCGACAGTGACTCCGCATAGACATGAGCGATTATGTCAAGAAAGCCAGCCCGACAATCTGGCCCTTGACCAATGCGTCATACCTTGGCTTGGTGTATCCAGCGAACCAATCGAGCGCACTGCATGTGCAACCTGGTCAGCTTCACAGTCCAAGATGGAAAAGTAGGGTTCTCACACTTCTTGAAGCAAATTCTGAATTATTTTCTTCGAGCATCCCTACCTACACCCAAATTTGCCACCTGGAAGCCGCCTTGGGGACTCGTCAAGGCTCTACAATGGGATTTGGAGGGGGCGTTGGCGAAATCGTTCACAATTTGTGTTCCCGAATGCGCAGCAGAAGGGTTCTCGTTTTGAGGTTGGGGGTCTGAGAGGAGAGGAGAGGAGAGGAGAGAGAGAGAGAGAGAAGAGGATAGAGGAGAGAGGAGAGAA